GTATAGCTAAGATTAATTAATTTGAAAGCTAAATGTCTCTGCATTAAATCTTGGGGAACTTGGTTAATTTCATTTGTAGAGTCTTCTGATGAGTATATGAATAGATAAAAAATATGTAGCATCCTTTAGTGTTTTTGAAAATCAATTCATTAGGAACATCGTATTCTGGTTATCCAGAAGTCATTTTCAACTACGTATTTATTTATTTCGACACATATACATCGATACAAAGGAGGATCAAATTATGTATGCACCACACGAAATTTGTATGAGGGGTAGGATACTACTTGGTTGCCCAAATCGAAACAAGCGGTTTTCTTAGGGGACCACTCCCTGAGCCTTTGATATAGAGTTTTAATTCTCAGGACAGTGGAGCAACGTTAGAAGATCCGGTTTCAGGGTAACCGGTGACCAAGAATATATTCATATGCCATTTGTTCCCTCAGGATCCTGGAACCCATGTTTGCCTCCGGTTTGGAATCTTAATTTTCCAACTCCCCTAGGTGGGCCTTTCATACCCATTAACCCAGTGTAAGCTCCGGATATGCGCTTCTTATCCTCCCGATTTCGTAAACAACACCCCCACTGAGAGAAGAAAGTGAGTAAAATTTCCCTGGCAGTGGCTGTATATGTGTTTTCAAACTTCATATGTATGAATGCAAATTGATAATCATGTATCATTTTAACGATACTAACTAAACAGTTTGTGTATTTCACTCACTGTTAATGAATCCAATTCATTACTACTATTATAAAGTGTAGAATATTCTGAAGTGTTGACTAACTATTATTTTAATAAATTGAATGAAGTTAGTTACATTATTGACTGGAATTTAGCGCATACATCTGTAAATTGTATACATATTTTACCGAAAAAAATTATTTTTTTATTATTATTACCGGGTAGATTGATGTACTTTGTCTCATTTTGTTTATATACCTGGTTGACCGATTGAATTTGTCGATCATGCGACAATAATTCTAAGTGTATCATCCACAGTTGTAATGTTAATTGATAAATAGAAATTGAAAATATCCGTACGTGCATTCATTCACATTTTTGATTGTTTAAGAAACTTTATTTTTCACAACAATAATCTTATTAGATCCATTTTATTTTATTAACCTCATCAAATGATCACTTGTTTAACCCATCACGAATGGTTTTTTGACTTTATTATTATTTGCGTAAATAATTAAAGAAAACCAACTTAGGTAACGAGTTTTGATTATGTTGACTCTAACAATAAATACAGTCATTGAATTCAGTTGTAGACTTTTATTCATAAAAATGATATGCAAATTCTTAGCCATATTTGTTTTGCCGTGGTTTATATTAGAGCTATTATATAATCCGTAAAATCACAAACTGAAGAGACTGTCTTATGTAAGGTATCAAGAAAGCGATTGATTCAGTGGTGCACACGACAGAATACTAGTAACAACATTTTATCTCATTGTAAATGCTAACAGAGTCAGAAGGTAGGTTTTTCTGTCGGAAACTCTAGTAAGGATGATAATTAAAAAAAGCAAAGTGGAAGTGTACATTTACGTATAGATTTGATAAAAAAAATCATTTAATGCTATACTTGATATTTACGAGGTTCCATAGTCAATTTCACTCTCTACACAAATAGTTCCTCAAAAAGTAAGCTAATCAAACAGTGACCCTGAATTGTATTTGTCTTCTGATAACCATATTTTATACTGTCTCTGGGTATTAGATAGCTAGTAGTGTGTAATGTTAGACATGTTTATATCTGTCAGTTGAGCGACCTATGCTACTCGACGAGGAGTAACAGGTGTAAGTAAGTGAGTATATTTGTCAGTATAGTATTCATTTTCTCGATCTCAAAGAAACTTATCGTTTCTCAGCATTTTTATGTAGATGACTGAAATGAAGACCAAAATTCGTAATAAAAAGTATAAGTAACCAATTTCAGCAGCTAACTAAAATGTAAATATAAAGAATATGAGTAACTATGGTAGCAGAATAACTAATTTATAACCATATATATATATATATATATAATCACCAAGTGATATCTAACAGTATTTAGTTATTAATTATTATTTACTCACATTATTTAACATATTTGTTTTGACACCACCTATTTGACGATATTCAGTAATGATTGTACTATCAGGGTCTTCACTAGTTGCTAAGTAATCATATAAAATACTTATCTTAAGCGGTTGGCATTTTTCGGTTTGGCAATATGATTATTGATCGCAGTACCTACCTGTGACCTAAAGTTATGATATTTTGATCAACTAACGAGAGACTCTGTATTACAAATTCTTGATAATTACATGCTACGTTTAATAACACTTACGTTTTGGTGGTTAGTAACTTGTGCTTGATAGATGGAAACATGATATATATTTATATTATGTATGTGTGAACTATGTATGTTTCTCAAATACAAAGTATTCTACGTGACTCAAACATATAATTCATTGACTTAAAATCTGCAAACTAAACTGGTGAGTTGTATCTATGACAGATTCTCTTTCATTTTTCAGCAACATATATCTTGGTTGGTAATAGATTTCATTTGAACAATTTGCTTTTTCAAGTGTTTTTCTTGTTATTTTATTATTGAAAATTTTAATAACGACAAACAACCATGAGCGTAAGTACTATAAACAACCTACCTAGTCATGTTCGTCGTTGTACCATCCTGATACCTCTTTGTTCGATTGGGGTTAAGTATTCTCTAAAATTTATTATTTGATAGCAAATTTCTCATTAGCGGGCTTGGAAAATGCTCCAAATGAGCTTTTTTAGGGTATTTAGAAAATAATTATCAAATGCTTCCTTCGGATCCGGGATTTTGGCTACCTTGAAAAATCAATTGACTTGGTCTCAGGAATCTGATGGAATTACATCTGATTTTCTTGATATCAATATAGTTTTAATTGAATTTGGTGAAGCTAAAAATACGTTCATACTCTTTGAAAAATTCAGTGGCTACATGGATTCAATACCTCAATGGACAACGCGTTGGCCCTTGAAGCGAAATGTATTGGGTTCGAGTCTGTGTGGGCGTCAACACTGGAATTTAGTTACATCCAGCTGACGAGCCAAAGACAGGATGAAACTCGCGTATTGCATTCCACTTCTAGTTAGGCACAATTCAACTCTACTAAAATGTGTATGTGTTTCATAAAAATTTACAACTTTGCCTTTAACCCTAACGTCAAAATTAAGTTCATGTCACATCCAGTATATTTATTATTATGCAAGTTTATAAACCATGGATTGTACTTGACTGTACGAATTAAAAAACGATAAACAGGGAGTTGTGGAACTAGATTTTCCCATCAAGTAAATGATATTCATGAGTGATAAAAGCAGGATTTGATTTTGACAACTTGAATGCCTGTAGCTGTAGTCACAAGTAAATTATTCAGGGTTGGAATCACTTCATATAAAAGATATCGTTTAGTGAGTCGAGCCCCTGACTTTTAGTCAATAAATCGCAGATCTGAATACACTGAACACTTATTTTGCCTAGCGTAGCTGGATAGTATCGTTGATTCCTAAATTGAAAATGTGACTTAAATATGAGTACTTTACATCATATACTTTAATAGAACATGATGGATTTGTGGATTTATAGTAAGTGAAGTATTACAGTGATCTATAGCTTCTACAGTCCTAACCACTTCAGAGATAAAGATAAGCTATTGTATTACTACAATAATAGTTTTATCACTTTGTCTACATGCAATTCTATTAAAAATAAAATAAAAGACTATAAATGCAATCGCGCATAACTTTTCCATCATATCATAATAACAGTTGAGTTTGACTTATTTTCATGGTATTATCAAATGAATGTATGAATTCATTAATTAAACAATCATATGCACACACAACAAGGTAACAGACCAGTTAGACAATTATATTACAATTCTCTTAACTATTCCCAAGCCTTCGTTTAGATAATGTTAATTGTGATTTCTCTATTCTTCTACTTCCTACTCCCATCACAAGACAGAAATAAATATTGCAAATAAATGACTAAAATGAAAACCAGAACTCGCAATTGAAAAAATAAAGCAATCAGTTTTAGCAACTAAATAAGATGGGAACATAAAGAAAACGGGTAACTATGGCAACCGACTAACCGACTTATAACCGTGTGTATACATGGATACATATATTAGTTATCGACTTGGTAACAGTTAAAAGTACAGTTAGGAAATCTTGTCCTAGTGATTAGCATGTATGGGAAATTTAAGAGGGAGAGAGGGAGTATATAAAGCAGTCACGTGCAAACGACTGATGACCTGAACACATGTATTCGTTTCAATGAAATTTTTGAAATAATATAGCAAAGGTTCACTTTATTTGTAGTAAAAATAGGAAAAAGGAATTGTGAATTGGTTAAGGTGATGGTAATCAAAAATTAGCTTTCAGATTACGCCGATCAGAATGCACAAGAACTTTTTTCTGTCTTAGATTTTCATTTATGTGGATACAGAAATGAGCAGCATTGTAGATTGTTAAAGGAAGTGTTCATAAGTTATCTATATGATCGGCCAATTTAGTCAGTATGGTATAGTTTTACTCACTGAGCTTCTTATCAAGTAAGACTGTAAACACAATAATAGCTTTTTTCAATTCGGACTGTTAAAGACTAGTGTGATAATAATACTACGATGTGTGAAGATGTTCTGAAATATTGTCTTCATCTTTTTTCTTCTTGAACTTTGCAGGACACATTTATCATAGTCTATATTATAAACCTGAATTACACCGTATTGTAGTAATACTTCTCACATTATTTGCTATTAGATCTTACTCAATTAAAATGTATATTGACGATATATATTACCATCATTTTTATGTACGTTTGAACTGTATTACTTGAAAGTATTAAAAACTTGGCTTATTTTTTTCTACTAATTAAAGAATGCTAATTGTATGTACTCTTAATTTTTTTTCTGTTAGTAATTTACATGCTGTTACTTCTCTTGTGTTTTAAAAGTTGATAGAAGTTTCGTGTAAGTTCAATTATTTTTTTTATTCGACGTGAAAATACTTTTTGTTTGTAAATGCTAAATATTGTTGTAAACACTTTTGTACTATTTTTCAGTAAGTTGGATTCTGTGTGATTAATTTGTGAAGTTTAATGTGTCTGATTATCACATTTTATTTTTAAATGCATCGTTGAAGTTAGTGGATCGGATTAAATAAATAATAATTTAAAAAGAGTGGAATAACGTCATTAATATAAACTCCTCTTTAATCGTTTTCACGTATCGTACTTAATTGTGTACTGGTAGCAGGTGGTTAACGGTAAATGTTTCAAATGTCTTTATATCATCCCCAATTCACTCAACTCAAGGGTTCTTTTTTGTTTGGGAAAATCCTCATATGATATGATAAACACAGTAGATAAAAGTATCTTAAATCTGTCATATGATTATTACTTAAGGGACTAGGTGAAATACTGTCCTGAATATCTACAGTGTTGTTTATTATCATTAGAAATGTTTTACGTATTGTATTGTCACTTTAACTTCACAAACGGGTACAAGGAGTGGAATAGGTTCAGATAGTCTCGTTGGCTAACTGCTCATTTATCAAAGTACAATAATTTCTCAAATTTGAATTTCAGGATATGGTTGGTGATACGTTCACACTGACCATCCTACAAACGTCCAAAAATTATTTTTCAGTTTAAGTTCACAAAAGCTTAATTAAAAATTTTCATGACTTATGCTTAGTAAATACTATATATGCATTTTTGCTAGTTTGTAAAGCTTTGAATCATCTTCCACCAGGTGGTACATATCCTTTTTCGGAATTGTGTTTTTACACTGAGCTAATAAAAAATTTGTCTATTAAAACTTGCCGATTTATCGTGTTCTATTATTTTTCGCTGTTTAATGGTTTTTGATTGCTCATTTGCGTGGTGTTCACTTCTTTATATAACACCTTTCTAACCAATTCTTGTTTTTAGTTTGAATTGACAATTTTTCACTTGTTCCAATAATCTCTCTTTCTCTTCATTAATTACCTAAACCTGTAGGATAAATCTTAATCTAGTTGTCGAGCCTGAAATTAGTTAACTTTACAGAAAGCTATTATCACTCAGTGTGTTTGTTTTTTTCTCAAAGCTTGAACTAATCAAAATGAAAACGTTGCTTCCAATTCCTATTTTGCTTATGAATATTTGTTAAAAAATTTCGCAAAATCAAATAGTATTGGGTTTTTATTTCGGCATTTTGTTTTTCAAACTCGTGAAATTCTTCTAACTGATTTTATGACTAGTCGCTTAGTGAAGTACACAAATTCTTAATTAAGTTTACTATACTATGGTAAAAATAAGAACATTATTTTCATGTGTGGTTAAGATCTTATTCAAACTCAACCCTGTGGGTAATCGATTCTGAGATACAAATTCATTAGAGATGAAAGATTTAGCCCAACTATGCTTGTTTAGTTCTATGCAATCGAGTAATATTGAGGTTATGAATGATAATGCGAAATGCTTGAATAGTGACTTGTTTCCTTTCATTTACTATTTTTCTTTTCCTGTACTATCAGGTTATATAATTGATCTAACTCAGTCACATGATCCAGCTTTCATTATTTCTGGTTTGGGTATGGTTTTGGCAGCATTTTCAGTTGTTCCTATTATTATACAGCATTTTCGAAGAAGGCGTGCTCGCCGATTACGTCGTTTACAACAAAATTGTTCTGAAATTGTATTAGAAGCTCAAACGTAACAACGATAATACTACTATTACTACTACTAATAATAATAATGGTTTTTCTATGATTCATCACAATGACCACTACCTTAAAAGACGATGTAATATTATCTTGCTCAGATTTTATTAATAGTTTTTTTTCCAACTAATTCGTTATATTTTGTTTCCTCTCTTTTCTCCTTGGATTGTATCTTAGATGTTTTGAATGTTTATTTCAGACTTGGTCCTGTCTTTTTCTTTGAGATTACTTTTGAAATCTACTGCTATTATTATTATTATTTTTCGAAATAAACATTGGTTTCACTCATCAATACAGTCCATAATGGCTGGTTTGATTTTTATTCGTTAAAATTTATACACAAATTTGTTAATTAACTATCTGTTTATCCATTTTTGTTTGAATCCGACAGTTTTATGTGTTGTACACCAATTCAAAAAAGTGCATTAGTCATAAAGATTATTCTTTATTTTATTCAACAAAATAATTATAGCATTTTACTCTGCTTATAGAAGTTCAAATTACAGTTACTTTCTTTTTAAACGAAAATCAAATACACATACACAAAGAACTTTACATTCCACTCAGAAATAGAGTATTGTTTATGAATATCATTACTCAACTGCAAGCTCTTTTCGCTCCATTGTAAGTGTGATTCGTATTGGCATTCTCTCTTCTGAAAACACCTATCGTTTTGTTTCTGTTGTTATTTACATGTTTACTTTCCTTATATTAATCTCAGCCTGTTTGTATACTTTACTTTGTATCTTCTATCTCTTCATTAAACTTCTATAAACACTAGACATAATGGTGTAACTTATTATTTTCAGTGAATGTCAATTCAGTGAGGGACAAATGGTGCTTTCATGACTCAAATCTTTCTATTGGTTACGGCTTATTATTAATACAATCGCAACCAGTACAGCTGCTTTGATTATTACTATTAGCAATTATAATAATCGTTACAGCTGTTAATATCATTCTTCTTATTGGTATATTAATATTGTTGTCATCATTACTATTATTATTTTTGTGGAACTTTATTAGTATTTAGATTCACAGATAATGTCACACTATTTTCATACTTTACGCATTCAAACATAGTTATTTTGTATGTGGATGTGAAAAACAGGAATTTATTATTATAGCCGGTTTTGTTTCCTATATTCTTTCTTCATCTTCTGAGAGAGATATTCTTATTCAATGTACATTTTCAATTGTTTGTTCACCACATAAATAAGTTTATTTTTCTTCATAGGTAGCAAAACATTCGATAAACACTGTAGACAAGTAAATCTTTTCTTTTATATATATATGCTAATGTTATATGATTTTATCATTACGCATTCAAATAATAAGTAAAAGTTGTATTTAACAGGGAATGTAGATGTTTGTTTGTTTTATGTCAACCAATACGAAAATTATTGTGGATGAAAGAATAGAAATGAACATTCTCTTAGTGTATATCAATTTTTACAGTTGACTGTACTTTGGCAAATACCCAAATATAATTTTGATGAAACGGATTCTTAATAAACTTTACTAAATCATACGTTGTTCTATCCATAAGTTTCATTACAATGAGTTTAGAATATGTATGTTCACCTGTTTATTTTATATACTGATCAATCAGTTGAAATCCAAAAATAATTTGTCTCAAACATATACGATAAACATTAGCAGAAAAATAGATTTGTCTATCTACTGGATAACAGTTTGTTTCACAGTTATAAAATAAATAATACTGAATTTACTAGGTAATTAAATTAAATCTAAACAATTTACCTGGCACACAGTGATTCGTTACCGATAATGAAATCTTACATTTGGTATTAATAACGTCACTGTTTTCAGTTAAGCCGGATTGCTTCAGTTAAACATCAGACAAGAGTCTGTCTATTGTCAAAGTGAAAGTAGTTGGGATTGGATTACTTTATGTCTATGAATGTTGAGGATATTCGTGAGTTAGCAGTATTTGAACTCATGCCTTCAAATTATTACTCTGATCGAGCAAAATACAACGTGGTTATTTGTGGAGTACTCGATTGAGGGTTATTATTAATGATGTAAACCATCGACTAATTTACTTGAATCATGCATAACACATACCAAGCTACTGTCAGCACCAATGTGTTACTCTGGTTTCTAGAAATAGTAATGATATCAGTTCACAAACTGTGTTAGAAGTAACAAGCATTTCAATTTATGATGTTGTCTTATTGTTGTAGACTTCAAATATTGTGGATCGAAATCGGTTGTTGAATTCTATCTATTCTGTATCTTCCCTTAAATTTTAATTTTCTTTACAGTACTTCAAGTAAGAGTGATAGATGAAATGATCTTGAGCAGCCAACTAGTCTGTCAAATAACGGTCATTAGTTATCAAACGATTTATGAAAAAAGTTATTGAGTAGACAGCTTTGACATGATTTATGAACCTTTCAATGTGAATTGATTTATTATAGTTAGCAAAAAATGGTTGGGAGTTAGGATTGTTGTTTAGCACCAGGGTTACAGTTTGTGGATAAAAATTAGGGCTAGCGTGCTCTGTAGTAGTAATGTTAAACCCTTTTCCAGATATTTTTGTGCATTAAAAAACTGAAAATCTTATAAACCATGGCATATCTACTTCGGTTTTTTATTATCCTGTACTTTTTCCCTGGAAAACACGTTCCTAGTGAAACGTTAGTACTCAACCTAATTCTTTTCTGATTTTTATCCCTGTAATTTTCATTCATTTTAAACATCCTGTTTTCTAAATATGGTAACATTTAGTTCGTTTCATAAGTAGCTCCTAATAAATTAAAAGTTATTATTCAACTCTCCTTGAATTTCGCACAAAAATTCAAAAACCGCTATCTCAAATCTGATGGATTTTATGGTATTATTTTCTTCTGCTATACTCCACACGTTTTTTATACTTTTAATCCATATATCCCATCTTGAGTGCTTCACTGTGAATGGTACTGGTTTTTCGTTCCTGTATTTCATCGTGTTTGATTTCCTCTCCTTATGCTAATATGAAATATGATAATTTAGACTTATTCCAGATCCCTGTACGTTTATTACTGATAGTTTATTTTTTTATAATTAGTAAAGCATATGACTTGTTTGAATTAGGAACCATGTTGAGTTTTGAGATGTGTTTATTTCTATACCTACCACTTAGTTTGTGATATTTTCGACCACCTGCGCTGCGGAAACATCAATTTCATTTTGATGCAATCTAGTCTCTATTGATTATTTCATAGTTAATCAACAAATGATCATAAAATAACAAAATCATCTATTTAACTAGCTTTTGATCAGTAATAAATTGAGATTTACAATTATATAAACATTTATGCAGCGTGAAATACGACATGGGATTACCAAACACCGATATTGGTTAGGTATTTACAAACTTAGTGAATAAGAGAAGAATTTCTCATTCATATAAAATAAACTAACAGAAATGTGGAAAGATCGAATCGTAAATAAATGGTAGTTGGTATTCTTTCATACATAAATGCTTCTGTCACTGCTTGTTAGGTTTTCTCGAATTTTCGGTACTAAATATTTGGTATATGTTGTCTGACTTTTAAGTACTCATAGTATGGTGATTGAAAGTAATCAAGAGAAAACCCTGGACCCAGGTTTCATATTTGTTGGTGCTCATCAAAAGAGTGTAACTGTAATCGTGAGAGAACTGCTTCTTCTTAGGGTATTTGACACATTTCACTCAGTCTCACAATCTGAGATGCTACCACATAGATTATGAAATCACGAACAAATTGTCGATCTGTTTTACTATGCTTCCATTTGCCTATTTGCTTTTATTTACTTACTGGTTTTAGAATTTGCGTTATTTACATCTTGCCGTTAGTATAGCGGTGGATTAGTGATAAAGGCATTCCGCTATCGAACGTTCGACTATAATTTCTAGAACTACCTCACACCTGTTTGGATAGAATAGTGGTATCATTAGCCTAGCTTCAAAAGGATAACTATGAAACTAGAATACATTTTATCTAGCTTATTGATCTAATGATTTTTACTCTGATGTGTTGTTTTGTATAAGTGTATTTTGAAAACATGGATGAGCCATTGTAATCTGTTTAGATATGTGCTAGAGGTCATTCGAAATAATGAAGTAAGGAACGTTACCAATACACGTTGCTAATCTATTCAACTGTTTTAAGATGAAATAGTCTGAGTTCTGTTTTAAGTTAGTCCTGATTTGGTCTTAATGAGCTGAAAAGAAACTCGATAGATATCTTAAATTTGTCAGTTAGACTGTGCCTATATCGTTGGTCAATATCACCGAATGATCATAGTGACGATGGTAATACTGTGAGCTTTTATCAAATAGTTACATATCCACGTGGGAATTACTAAACAGCTGTTCTGGAATCTTATTTTTCAAGCCTAGGCCTAAAACGACGGGTATCATTTATTGTTGATATTCTGTATACTACATAGCATTTGATTTGTCGACTAAAGTACTTCATTAACCGGAACTAATAAGTTATTTCAATGTAAATGTCAATAAAGGAAGTCACTTCCAGTCAATTTGTGTGATATGTTTATTTAAGAGTTAGAATATTAACAAACTTGTTAATTTTTGAATAATAGCTATGTCAGTATCTCTATCATGTCAACAAATCGAAATCAGTACAAATTAGCTGTCAGTCATATAATGTGGCTCAAGAGATTTTTAATTATTTTTAGTTAAATTACAATATCTCAATTGCTTACGTTTTTTGTCAATAAAAAATAATGAACTTTTTATGATTGATATGAGTGAAAAGTCTTCATATGTAATTAGCTTCAATTTCTTTGTGAACGAATCAGGGAAAAAGAAATAAGTCAGGGTGTTAGATAAAAAGTCTATATTAGACAGTTCTCAAATTCGTCAGCGGACATATGGATGATAATTTCCCTAGAAAACTGACTATTCGATTCTTGTTAAAACTAACCCCAACTTGCAAGAAGTTTGAAATAGTTCCAAACTATTTGCTTACTTAATAGATTAATTATTAAAAATGGTAATATATGTGAATGAAGGAACGTATTTGGAAATTCGACTGATGTACTGCAGTAGTATATAGATAAAATTTATCATTTATATTCACTTCATATAAAACCATTTACTTATGTTGGCCACTTGTTTAATACGGTTACTACTGTAATATACTCATTTTTGTTAGTCCAACCTGCTACTTTGGTTGAAAAACCAACGTAAAAAACTGACGTACTTATATCGTTCTTGGTTAATTACGATAAATCTTGACCAAGTGAATTCCCATATTATCTCTCACTTATCCTTTAGCTGATATATTTCTGACTGAATCAACCTTAAATGGTCCTATATTTGACTCCAGGTATCTCTTATGAATGATTGTTATTGAAATATACATCCCACCAATCCTCCTATATTATTATCGACTTAAACTGCGTTAGTGAATAACGGAATTAAATAAATACGAAAATGAAGTTTGAATGCGTATATTTCATACAATCGTTGATCCGAACAGACAAACGTTGGAGAAGGCATGTAAGCAAACTCGATTTAACCAAACATGAATCGTTATTTGTAGTCAAAAACAAGTTACAGACATGTGATGAATAGGTAAGATATGCACACACATACGTTTATATAAAAACAGCCAAGATTGATAAGCGAATAATTACCAAGGTCAAAATGTTACTCAAGAAGGATGAATAAATTGGTCTGTCCGGAAGCTAGAATAAGCTATATGGGCTCGACATATCAACCGACACTACAAACCAGTCAATCCACATTCCAGTTACGAAAATATTTCAATTAGGTATTTTAAATCCGTAAAATTTAAGAATTACGACTGAACTAGACAGCATGATTATTTTAGGAACAAACAACTTTACACGTTCAAAGTCTCTATCATCATGTGACGTCATAACGCATCTATTTTAAAAATATCTCGTTTTGTTTCAAGGAGTATTACTTATCTATTGATATCCTTATAGAAATAAAATTTACTCTTGAACTGTGTTTACAATGGTTATCCAGGACCAGGGTTTTTGTCGATTTGTAATGCATTGACTAGATGCACCAGCGATCAAGTTTTGATGCTCACACCGAGACTCTAACGCTGAATTAGATTGCCGAGCCTAGATAGCCACTAACTCCTTAGATTGGTGTGATATTTTTGTTTGTATAAGTCTGTATACTCCGTCTTTAATATTCAGGATTATATGCAGTGACTCTCGTGAAACTTGTTTCCCCGGAGGTGGTCCTTCGATATTGCTCGTGTCTATAATGTGATCACGGTTTCACACAGCTGACTATCAGTAGAAACTTGAGCGGAAAATAAATCATTACATGTATTGTTTGGTGAATTATTATCCATATGATCGAGCTGGTTGTGAATTACTCTGGTAGATACATATACATATTGTGAAGAATGCTATTATTTGTTAAGTAGATAACATGCAGTCTTTTGTAACATGTGCATCACTTTGATAAAAAGCAAATTAAACCCATTTTTCTGCTACATAACTTTTATACACAGTTGTTATTATTATTAT